AGGCCAAACTCTGTAAAATGTTTACACCAGGAAGGAGAAAGGGAAAATTTTAAAAGTTTGAATTGGTCTTGTGTACATGTGTATGCACAGAGACCCTTTACAAAGGTCATGGGAACAGGCTTAAAAGACAAGTGTGTTCCAGCACAAAACCTTACTGAGATCCATGTGTAGGACTTTTTGTAATATATGTTTGCTTGAATTTGTTGAAGGCCATTCTAGGTGTGAATTTCAAAAAGACTTGTACCAAAATAAACTTATCTTTTAATTCCATTTCCCATGAACTTTTTGATGGACCCTTGAATATCTGTACTTGTTTTTAGGACGTGTAAAATATTGACTTGTGTACTCCCATTTTGTGTGTGTGTGTGTATGTTGTGTGTCTATGAAGGACTCTGCACTGTGCTGTGGGGGTGGATGTGGTGGTATAAGCCCCCTTCTCCAGGAATCTGGGCAGTATGTGGTATCATAAGCCATTTAGTAGGTGGGCGTTGCGGCACAGCCACTTACGGCACAGCTTGAGAGACCTGCATCCCCTAGTGAAGTCTCTGGAATTGAGTCCTGGCTCCACTACCCATCTAGCTTCCTGCTAATGCTCAGCCCTAGGGGTCAGCAGATGATGGCCCAAGTACTTTGGTCCCTGCCACCCACGTTAGAGACCTGGATTGGAAGTCTGGCTTAGGCCTGGCCCGGCTCTGTCTGTTGCAGACATTTCGGGGAATGACACAGCAGACAGAAGATCTGTTTGTTTGCCTCTGTCTCCCCCTGCATTAATAAACTTAAATAAAATAAAGCCATAGTCACATGGGATGCCTCCCTTTTTCTGTGGTTTGGTGGTTGCTGGAGGAGAGTTTGCTCCTGAAATTTTGGGAGAGAACAGAGGCTGGGACCGAATGGTAGCTGTGCTCTGTTTCTTCTTTTTCCTGAAAGGCAGTGATAACACTGTTGGGTGTTGCACCTGCTTTTAGAGAAGGACCAGTCTGGTCACCCATTGCCTGTGGTAGCCAGGAAGAGCAGATTGTGCTTGTGAGGTGTGGACATTCCTGGTGGCTCTGACTCCGTGCCGGGCTCGGGCATGCGTGCTCCCGACCCTGCAGGTGCAGGTCATCATGGCTGTGTATTTGTCTCTTCCCCAAACTCAGGACACATGCACAGCAGTAAATTCTTCATTTGCCAGAGTTAATCACAGCCAGGCTGTCGCTCCTATCATTCCAACTGCCCTTTGGGAAAGCCTTGAAAATATAGAAGGGATTTGTTCTCCAGGAAATAAGTTCAACACACCAGATCAGTGAGACTACACAGAGGGAGAGCTTGGAGGCAGGGTCCCTCCTTGGGTAATATCTTATTCTGTTCCTGCTAAGCATCAAATTTAAGACTCTTTACCTCCCCACCAACAGACTGGTCACGGCTTGGAGCAGAGGGAAGTGGTGAAAAGGCCTTGTTGGTTTATTTCCTCATTCAATATTTTCTAAAATAAAACTGTACAGAAGAAAATGTAATAAATGTTATTCATGTTCCCACAACGAGATATAAAAAGGGGCTAACATTTTTTATCATACCGACTTCAGATAATTTTTATTACATTAAGAAATAAAATATTGAGAAATAAATGAAGTTGGTTACAGTCCTCTCCGTAGCCCCATCCCCCCCCCCCCCGACATTGGTGCCTCCAAACAGATACTGTCATGTATTTTGAAGGCCTAACAGTGATACTAAATATCCTTTCACTACAGAGGTATTTTCACAACCATAAACCATATGGAACACTTTTTTTTTTTTTTAATTTGACAGGTAGAGTTGTAGACAGAGAGACAGAGAGAAAGATCTTCCTTCCATTGGTTCACCCCCCAAATGGCTGCTAAGGCCAGCGCTGTGCCAATCCAAAGCCAGGAGCCAGGTGCTTTTTCCTGGTCTCCCATGCGGGTGCAGGGCCCAAGGACTTGGGCCATCCTCCACTGCTCTCCTGGGCCACAGCAGAGAGCTGGACTGGAAGAGGAGCAACTGGGACTAGAACCTGGCACCAATGGAACACTGTTTTAATACCTTTAAAACTTTTTATAAAACATGAGGCCTTTTTAGAATTTGTTTTCCTTCAGTCAGCTTTGTGGTTTTTTAAAGATTTTTTTATTTTAAAGGCAGAGTGACATGGAGAGGGAAAGACAGGGAGAGAAAAGAAGAGAGCTGGCATATGCTGTTTTATTTCCCAGGTGCCTGCAGTAGCCAGGGCTGGGCCAGGATGAAGCCAGGAGCCAGAAATTCCTTTCTGTTCTCCCACCTGGGTAGCAGGGACCCGAGTCCTCGGGCTGTCTAATGCTGCTTTCTTGTGACTGGGAAGCAGATCCCAAGCAGAGCAGCTGAGACTCGAACCGGCATTCTGTTAGGGGATGACACTATTGCAAGTTGGAGCCTTAACCCGCTGTACTGCAGTACTGGCCCCAGCTTGTGTTCTTGAGAACTTCCCATGATTCTGCATATACACAGTGTTCATTCATTTTTTTTTTTATTTGACAGAGTTAGACAGTGAGAGAGAAAGAGAGAAAGGTCTTCCTTCCTTTGGTTCACCCCCCGCAAATGGCCGCTATAGCCGGCACTGCACTGATCCGAAGCCAGGAGCCAGGTGCTTTTCCTGGTGTCCCACGCAGGTGCAGGCACCCAAGAACTTGGGCCATGCTCCACTGCCCTCTCAGGCCACAGCAGAGAGCTGGACTGGAAGAGGAGCAACTGGTACTAGAACCCGGCGCCTATATGGGATGCCGGTGCCGCAAGCGGAGGATTAACCAAGTGAGCCATGGCACCAGCCCCGCATTCATTCATTTTAACACACAGAAATAATGCACTTATGTCTCCACTCCTGTACAGTTGGTCGTTGATAGATTTTTGCCACTCTGAGTACAACTGCAGCTCACAGCTGTGTATATCCAACCCATGACATAGGTACATGAGGGTTTTTGGCTTGTTTTTGGTTTTGAAGGCCATATACCTAAAACTGGCTTGCTTTCTCTTACTACCTGTTTCCTAATCACTTTCTGAAACTGCTGCAGTAATTTCCAATCCAAAGAGTTTTTGCGAGTTCTTTTTTCCTTCCATCTTTTCTAACACGTTGTGAATCCAGGCTTTGTTATGTTTTTACCTGTGTATTATTTTCACTTTATTGTATTTTCTTTGTTCTTGATTTAGTGTTAGAAGGTTGCATATTTTCATTACTTTTTTGAAAGGTTTACTTTTACTGATTTTTTATTTTCCCACTTATGAATTTTAGCTCTTCTAAGTTCTGTGGGTTTACTCAGTTCTTGTATCTTCTTGATTTGTGGTTTAGCTTATTTACTTTCAAACTTCTCAGCTTAAAATGAATTCATTTCTACCTACAGATTTCTCTGGAAGTACTGTTTTATCTGTGTCACAACAGTTTTGCTGCTAACTCCTAAATATTCAAAGTTTAAATATTTTGTAATTTCCATTAGAATTTACTCTGTGATCCATAAATATTTTGAGTTTGCCTTTTTGTCTCTCAGTTATATAATTTTCTTGGCTTTTTGATTTTTTTTATTTAATTGCATGTTATCCTAAACATGATCTATTTGATAATTGATTCTTAAAAAATCTTAGAGTTCACTTGTATCCTAGCATGTGGTATATGTTTGTAAGCATATGATTTACATTTTTAAAAATTTTCTTCAAATCCCACACTTGTTTCTTCCACAGTTTTCCTCATCACAAAAAATGACAGCACTTTTTTGCTGCTTTTTTTGTCACTAAGGCCAAAAATCTCAGAACCTTCTTTGATTCCTCACTGTTCATGACACAGGTACACAGTTTATCAGTGTATCCAGTTGGTCCTGCCATTACTCAGAGCCTGACTGTGGCCATTGGAACCACGTCCGTCATTGGTGCCACAGCCATGGTTGATTCTGTAGAAGCCCCTGCTTCCCCGTAGGTAAACACTTCTACCCTTATTCAGAGCAGCCGAATGGTACTTGAAGTGCAGAAGTTGCGTGCTGGCACGTCCCTGCTCACAACCCTCAGAAGGCTTCCCATTTCTTCCACAGTGCAAGCCGCAGTCTGTGCCATGGCCTTCCCGTTGCCTCGTGGTGGGTGGTGGCGTTCTGTTCTCTCGCTGAATCCGTCTTAGGATCCTGTCTTCTCTCTGGGTCATGAGCTGATGCCCCAAGGCCTTAGCACTTAGTGTGGATCGCTTACGTCACTCAGGCCTATTTGCAAAGGACTTGTTAACAGAAATGCCCTTCCTGACTATGCTGTGTAGAACAGCACGTCCCAAACACCTCCTTACCTGGCTTGTTTTCATCATAGCCATCTGTCTGTCTTCCCTAGCTAGAAGGTGAACTCCATGGCAGTAGGAATGTTGGCACTTTGATTCACTGCTCTACTGTAGGACCTAGCGGATTAGGGAGCAGCACTTGAATGAGGGGGTAGGAGAGGGTGTGAGTTCTGTGGAGACCTCATATGTCAGTCTCACTAACTGTACTGCTTAATGCTCCAGATTAAAGTTTTTCCTCAATTACAAAAAAAAAAAAAAACACCTTTTTAATTCTATTTTTCATGAACTTTTAAAAGCTTGTTTATTTACTTACTTGAGAGGGAGGCTGTCAAAAAGTGAGAACTATCATCTACTCTTTCACTTCCCAAATGTCCACACAATGATCAGAACCAGCCTGGCCTGAAGTGGGAATCCAGAAGCTCAATGCAAGTCTCCTATGTGGGCGGCGAGAGCCCAGTGACTTGAGCCATCCTCACTGCTTCCCAGGCTCTGCTTAGCAAGAATCTGGATTCAGGAGCCAGAGCCAGGCATTAAACCTAGGCACCCTGAAGTAGGATGTGGCCATCTCAACTCTCAAGCCAAGCACACACCCCGTTCCGAATGTTTGGTAGCCATCTATATGTTTCCCACTAAGGTGTTTTACTAAATTAAACTTGCAACAGTTCAAAATCCAATGGATGAACACAGAGTCTTGTGAAAAATCAGCTATTTACGCTCAACTCTCTAGGTGCCAACAATCCATATGATGACTTCGAGGGGCCGGACTATTGCAGCCAAAGAAATGGCAGCTTGAAGCGGCAAGGAGAAGAACCATTTGGAAATCTCATACTCACTTTTTCATGCTTTGGCTGGGAAGTGACACATGCTACCTCCACTCACAGCCCTGTGGCCAGATACGTGTTGTACTGTGCACTGGTATACATTTGTCTTTATTCATTATGCTCATAAGTTGGTGTGTGCCATAAGTTTCAGAACTTAGGATTTTCTTCAATTGTTGCAAAATTCTCCATAGCTACCTCTTTAAAGTGCTTCACAGTTTTCCCTCTGTCTCTTAATTCTGAAAATCCATTTATATCCAAGAGGTTCCCTCCCTCTATCCCTCCCTCAACTCTTCATGCTGCACTGGAATCATTTCCTCAGTACTGTCTTCCACATTACCAATTTCCTCTTTACCCATGGGAACTCTTAATTGCATCTGAAGAGTTTTGAAATTTCCATTACATTATTTCTACCTTCTAGTTTCTAACTGATTATATTATTAGTAACTTTTCTCAGTTTCTAGGTATATCTTTTGGTTTAATGCTGTTTTGTTTAAAAGGATATTTTCTCTTACTTTACGCTTTATTTTTTGCTTTTATTTAATAAATATAAATTTTATAGGTACAGCTTTTGGATTATAGCGATTCTTCCCCCCATAACCACTCTCCTACCCACAAACCATCCCATCTCCTATTCCCTCTTCCATCCCATTCTTCATTAAAATTCATTTTTAATTATCTTTATATACAGAAGGTCAACTTAGTATATACTAAGTAAAGATTTTGACAGTTTGCATCCTGTCAGACACATAAAGTATAAAGTACTGTTTGAAGACTAGTTTTACCATTAATTCGCAGTAACTCATTAAGGACAGAGGTCCCACATCTTTAAACATTTGAAGGTTTTCTGAGATTCTTGTATGCATCTTGTTCAAGAGTCAGATCATCCTGATTGTTGATGTTGTTGTTGGATATCTTTTTGTTTTGTTTTGTTTTTACTGTTTTTTTTTTTTCAAAGATTTATTTTGTTGATTTGGAAGACAGAGTTACAGAGAGAGGTAGAGACAGGGAGAAGGGTCTTCCATCAGCTGGTTCACTCCCCAGATGGCCACAACAGCCGGAGCTGTGCCGATCTGAAGTCAGGAGCCAGGAGCTTCCTCTGGGTCTCCCATGTGAGTGCCAGGGCCCATGCACTTGGGCCATCCTCCACTGCCTTCCTGGGCCACAGCAGAGAGCTGGACTGGAAGAGGAGCAGCTGAGACTAGAACTGGTGCCCATATGGGAGGCCGGTGCTTCAGGCCAGGGCTTTAGCCTGCTGTGCCACAGCGCCAGCCCCTCTTACTGGTTTTGAATTTCAGGTTGTGACTTGTAGAGTGAAAATTGTCTTCAGAAAATTTAACTATCTAGCATGCTTCTGCAGATTTGTGGTAGCTTCCAGGTGACTGAGCATCTTAGGCCAGAAATAGGTTCTGCATTACTGGATGGGATTGCTGTCCTGGTGCACCATGAGATACCTGCAGATCCAGCACTCAGGAGCTTGTCACAGGTCTGATCTGTGTGCCTTTCTCTGTTCTTTCTGTCTCACATGTCCGTAGTGACAGAATCCACAGCCCAGTGCATTCTCGGTTCTTTTTCTCCAAGGTTGGAAAACCGTACCAGCTGGACACTTCATTTTATGGATCTGGTTTGTGACCATGACTCAGCATTCAATCCTTGATAGAACTTCTTGTTGTCTTTGTCCGTTTCTAACCTGCAGTTCATCATAGTTCTAGCATTTTTTCCCTCCTGTCTACTTCATTGCTTTTCTGGTATTCATGGATAACTTGCCTTGGCTATGGAAATGCCTGTTAAGTTTTGAAATTTCAGCTAGAATTCCATTTTGTGGTCCAACAAGGAAGAGGTATTGAGTACATCAGTTCATAGTGCCATTTTAGACTGAAATCTTTTATTTTAAAGAGTTAATTTTGATTGTAAATGAATACATGCTCATTACCATAGGCTTGGAAATTGTTGAAAACATAATGAAAATATTTAACCAAAAATACAACTATACAAAAATAATTACGGTTAACCTATCAATGTGTTATCTGAATTTTGGTTTTTCACTAAATAGGATTTACACTATATGAGTATACTGAGTTTTATATCCTTCTCCTTTATAACAGACATTATAGGGTGGATTTACCATGCCATTAAATAATCTTCAGAAGCAATTTTTTTAAATAGCTCCTTAATGTCCTAACATATGGAGGTACTATAAAAACATAAATCACTCAAATTTTTTAATATCTCTCTTAGCATAAATTAACATGTAATTACTGAGTAAAAGGCTATGAATATTTTTAAGGCACTTGATACACAATGAGACATTTCTATCCAAATATGGTATTTCCAATTTATATGCCAACAGTAGCATAACCATTCTCTAGCCAGCACTAAGTGATTTCTCCAACCATCCCAGTTGGATAGATGAAGAAATACCATTTATATGTTTGTGCTGTTGGAACTACTTGTATCTGTTCTGTTATTCCTTAATTTATAATGTTTAAATTCTGTTTTTACCTCTTAATAAAATTCTAGGCCCCTCTCTTTGTCATTTGCTTAGAGAATAGTTTTAGTATCTTTTTTTGTTTTTCATAATTTTGTTTGTATATATTTTCCCATCTTCAGCCCTTTGTTCTGCATATTTCTTTATTTTATGGCTCCTTAGGCTGATTGCTTAATTAATTTTAATTTTCTCCATCTATTCACAGCCTTGCATGCTGTATTACTGTTTTGTCCATATTCTGTAAGCTTACACATGAATATACTTCTCATCATTATTTCTGAAGTGGGTTGTAATTGATTTTCATTTACTCTTTTAATAGGGAATTTCAGTTTTTGCTTAAATTTTTGATACTAGTTTTATTTCATTGAAGTTTCAGAGTACAGTTTTCTTTCAAAAATGTTATCAAGTATACTGAATGGATTGACAAATTTTGAAATGCCTCATGGGCATTTAAAAAGAACCTGTATTTCTTCTTGAAGATTTTAAGGACATACATGTATATGTTAGTTTATGTACTTTTTCACATAAATACAGTTTTCATTTCTTTTAAAATTTGTTTAATCTCTTAGGAGCCGAGAATGGTCTGCTGTTTCTCAATTCATTATTTCTGGTTTTCTTGCTGTGTATATTCTGGTGTGTGATGATTATGTCATCCCTGACATAGAAAAGTTATCTCTCTTATATGTCTTCATTGCAGTGATTCCTTTTATCAGCACAAAATTCTATCTTCTGAGGTTATTGCTTTCTGCCACGCGTGTTATTGCTTGTCGCTCCCCCTCTTCGTGGAGGAACGACACAGGACCCTGCACTGTTCTTTTGTCTGCTCGGCCCTCCCCGGGTTTGCTGCTGGTTCTTCCCGGGTTGGCTACCGACCCTTCCACCTCCGTGGAAGGGCGGTTCCCCCTGCCACTTTCCCCACTTCCGCGGGGGAGCGGCACACCGCCGGCCGGCTCTCTCGGGGGCTGCTCAGGTGTTCCTTCAGATGGATGTTCCTGGTGCATGTTGTCTCTCTCCTCCTTTATAGTCCTCTTCCACCAATCCCAACTCTGCTACCCACACGCCGAGTATGCTGCTCTCCTCCAATCAGGAGCAGGATCAGCTCCTGCAGGTCATCACTCAAGTTGGCGAGAGGCAGCTGTGTAGAAGTTGTTACTCCCTTCTCAGCGCCATATTGTGGGAAAGCAGATGCATAGAATAAGTCTTAATTCCAGTAACAGTCTAGTCCGAGTTGCTCCCCACAATTGCTGTTACTGCTTTGTACGACACTTTGTCCTGTATCATTATTTCAATTTTAACAATATTTTATGTTTTTAAAAGTATTATTGACAATTTGGATATATTTGATTTTCTAATATGAATTACTGGAAAAATTCACAGCATTTCCATTTAAGGCCAAAACACATATTTAGACTTAATTTGATCGCCTTGTATAATGCTATTCTTTTTGTTTCATTCTAAACTTTGTTCAGTCCTATGTGAAAGCATGTAAAATAGAACTTTTAAAATCAAGTTTACTAGTGATAATCCATTTGTTTATCAAATGCGTATTAAAACTGTATTCCTCTATAAAATTGAAGAACATGTTCCTAATGAGAAATTTTAATTATCTGGGTTTACTCTGACTTTTCATTTTTCTGTATTAATCAGTTGTAATGTTTTTTAATCTGGCATTATGGTGTTAACTTTTTATGATAAAGTTGTGATTTTTTTTGTCATAGACAGCCTTTGGATTTACTTTGTACCCATTTTACAATTCTTCGTTTTTGATCCTAAGAAATTAATTGGTTTCAGAGTTCTTTTGCAGTCTTGAATTCTTGATTTCTTTCTTATTACTGGTTGACAGGTATTCATTTTGTATGTGTGTGCCTTCTCAGGAAAGGAATAAGAATCAGTAATCTTTTATGATTTTAAGTTTAGCAAAATCTCTTCAACTTCCATATAAATGTTTCAGGTTACAAACTTTTCCAATCACTCCTCTGCAAAAATTGTTTCATTGTTTTCTGACATCTGCTTTTGCAAAGAAGGATGAAGACAGTCTTATTTTTGCTACTTTACCAGTAATTTTTTGTTCCTCTCAATTTTTCAGAGAATTTTAGACTTGCCCAGTGGTCTCAATAGATTTCAAACAAAATGAAAATTCCCTAGTATTTCTAGTCATTGAAAAGTTTGTTTTTATTTAATTCCCGTGAAGCTCAAATTTTACTTATCATCCTCAGAAGTGTTGCAGGATGCTTCAAAAGTTTATGGAAAATGGTATTGTGGGAAAAAAACTGAGCGTGGACTTCAAATGTTTTTGCACCAAAATTTGTCTTAATTTTATTTTTCCATGAACTTTTGAAGTACACTCCTGGTAGACATATCTGTCTTTCTCTGTGGATATTTCTACTTAACTGAATCTTTGATGACGAATCCTGCCGCTGTGCCTTCTGTCTCAGTAACACTCCTCTCCAGTTAGATCCAAATTGTCTTCAGTATGAGTCATCTTCTGGTTTTCTTTTTCCCCTTATATTAGAAGGTTGTCTTAAGCTCATCTCCACTTTATTCACGTCACTTCCGTTTTCATTGCCTTCAGCATGGACTTTAATTTTTCTCACTGTGTTTGTGTGGTTTCCTCAGCTGTTTCCTAATTATTTGTACATTTGTCTCTGAACAGTTTCTCCTTGGGCACTCTGAACCTGTTTCATAGTCAGTATTTTCTTACATGTTTGAGGGCAGGAAATAGAATCTGTTCTAAATATTTCTTCTGTCTAATATAAAAATGTATTTTCATATCTATCCTCCTTATGTGAACCAACAGGAGAGACTTCCTTTCCTTGATGCCACTGTTACCTTCCTTCCTAGAATCCAAAGCATGTGTGTGTGTGTGTGTGTGTGTGTGTGTATGAATGCTCATCTTTGAATTGCACGGACTTCTGTGCTAGCATCAGCATGCATGAAGTTGGAAGTAATGTAAATTGATTTGGGAATGCCTGGGAAACCCCACTCTCTGACTCCAGTTCCTGTATCCTTTGACCATTGGATTTTGAACAAACTGGGGAGTTAAATGGATGGGCTTCTCCGTTTTCCCTTGAACAGTGCTGCGTATGAAGATCATGGTCTCTGGCAGGTGCTTCCCCAGTGCTCTGAATGATGTCCCTGTTTGATTGAGGAGATAGGCTATAAACGGACATGCATGCAGAGGCAAGGTGAAGAGATGGGAAGTCGAGATTAGGAGTCTTTCCTTCAGAGGTCACTTACCAGATTTGTCATGACAGTGTCCAGGAAGTGTATGATGTTCTGTGATGTGGCTCAAGTCAACTGGGTTGCCTCTGTCTGTCCTCTTATTCAGCTTCTGCAAATGTACATAAATGTAGGAAGCATCAAATCTGTATGCATAATGTAGTCTGTATTAAGAAACCCTGGGGTCCTATGTCAGGGCTTCAAGACTTCATAGCTGATTGGAAATGGAGTATGGGAAAGCCATGTGGGTTCCAGATCTCTTAACACACACTCTTTCTCTTTAAAAAGATTTATTTATTTATTTGAAAGACAGAAATGGAAGGAGAGCAAGCGAGATCTTCCATCTGCTAATTCGCTTCCCAAATGTCCACAACAGCTGGGGCTGGGCCAGGCTGAAGCCAGGAGACAGGAACTTCCCTCTGGGTCTCCCAGTTGGGCGCAGAGACCGAAGCACTTGGGCCATCTTCTGCTTTCTCAGACCATAGCAGAGAGATGGATCAGAAGTGGAGCAGCTGGGACTTGAACCAGCACCTATGTTGGATGCCAATGTTGCAGGTGGTGGCTTAATCAGCTACATCACAATGCTAGCCCCAACTCCCATTCTTTTAAAAGGCAAATGGTGTGACATATAATTTGAAGCCTCAGTGGTACAAAGATACCAGGCATAGATGAAATAGACAGCATAAAAGTCAGGAGACCTGGAGCATATTTAAAGAGATAAGGATCTGAAAGAAGCTGGTAGAGCTGGAGCCTCGCAGCTGGTGGGGAAGTGATATGAAAAGACAACATGGATGGAGAGAGAAGCAGGGTGCAGAAGAGAGAATATTTCCAAGCTGGAGTGAGAAATTTGGATTCCATTAAATGTTTATGGGAAGATCCTAAGAGAGGAGCATTTCAAAAGGTAAACAAAACAGTTTGATTAGTTTACAACAACGTTTGTATGTGGTTGTTTCATTCATTCCTATGTTGATTAAGTACACATGCATCTGTCAGTTAACCACCATATGTCAGGCACTGTGATAGTGCTGTGTCTTAGGGTTCCCACTCCGTGGTATGGGGGATGTGTCCACTGTGCGCTGGAACTTCTCCCCTACATAGGAAGCTCTTTGTGCACTGCCTGACTATGTCTGTGAATCTGCTGTGCCTTGCATAGTACTGGACATACAGTAGCCCCTGCATGAATCCATTTGTTAGATGAGTAAGTAATAGTCCATATGTTCATAGTTAAAGGTCTCTGGAATATTTGTAAAACACACTTAAAAGCTCATTGTCATCAGCAGTGACCAGAAGACAGATGATGAGAGAGAGAGAGGGAAAGAGAGAAAATATCTTTCATCTAGTTGTTCACTCCTCAGATACCCACAAAAGCTGGGTCTGGGCCATGTCCCAGCCAGGAGCTCCGGAGTAGTTCCATTCTGGTCTCCCACGTGTGTGATAGGGATGCAAGTACTCAAGCCATTGTCCACTGTCTTTCCAGGTACATTGGTAAGACTATGGATCAAAAACAGAGCAACCAGGACTCAAACCAGCAGGCCAGTGTTACATGTGGGCATCCCAAGTGCAGCTCAGCCTGTGCCAATCCATCTACCACTCCCTGGATCTTTTAGTCAAGTTAAATCTACTGCCCCTACTATGCATAGACTTGCAGGGATTATGGCATGCGAGTAACCAGTTTGGCCGTGCTGATATGGAACAGTAAAGTGTTACCAACTAAGATTTAGTGACATTTCATGCCTGAAGTGTATATTAATTCAAATAGAGTCCCCAGCCTTTTACTTCTACTCTAGGTTCTACAACATACACAGTTCTCTTAACATATATTCTCAGGACTTTTAGCAGGGGAACATCTGTTTTACTTTGAGGAAGCTATGATAAGCATCTGCTTGGAGGAATGATCTGAACAAAACCAGGGCACATGTGTTTGCCATGTAATGGATTATCTAGTCTTACATTGTTTATGAATAAATCACGCAGGGTGGATAAACCAGTAACCACAACAGCATATTTCATACTGGGTTTAAAACATAAATTAATGCATTTGTAATTTTTTCTCCCTGTGGACACTAAAAATGTATGTTTTAAGCAAAAGATAGTATGGATTTTGACTGTAGCTGAGCAGTTGGGTGCACAGATTCCAGAAATTCCTTTATTAAATTAGAGCTCAGGTGGTGGCTTAATCAGCTCCACCACAATGCTAGCCCCAACTCCCATTCTTTTAAAAGGCAAATGGTATGACATATAATTTGGCTGGTAGAGGGTCCTCATGTTCATAGCAGTACTATTCAATGCATTAATTCTGATCAGGGAGTCCAATATGAAAACAGTGTCCTATAAGAAGAAAGAAAGGAAATACGGGCACAGAGACGTGCATGCGTGTGTGTGTACTCCACATTTGTATAAAACCTGACACCGAGCCCTCAAAACTCATTTCAAAAAGAAGTGTGATTAGGGTTAATGAAGGTTTAGGAACTTCTTAAAGTCACACAATCACTTCGTAGCAGAGTCTGAACACAGAATCACACATCACATCTCCCTGTTCATTGTTTCTTATTCCTGGCTCTCATGTCATGCCAAATGTTTCATTGATAGTAAGTTATTTTGAAACTGCGTTCAGGGACTATCAATGATGTTTAGTAAGAAGGAAGAATCACATCTACTGTGAATTTTCTTTTGATTTGTTGTGCATGAATAGCTCTTCGGATGAGTTGGGCACACGATGGAGGAGAAACATAAAGGACTGATAGATGGGGAGTTGGGTTAAGGAGTCTTACCTCCACTGATGTGGTTGCTGGATAACAGAACTGAAGTAAACAACACCCATTCATCATATCACTTCCACCATTAGAGTGGCAGTGTCTGAGTTGCATATTCTTCTGTTGTTGAATACAGATTCCTCCAAAAGACAGATCTTGCTCACTCTGAGGTTTCACACTTCTTTGTCCTAACTTGACTGTTCAGCTTAGAGACAAAGAATAAGCATTTTTAACAACTTGCGTTTCCCTTTAAATGTAAATAAAAGAATTGAGAAGTTCGGAGGGTTGTGGTCTGCGTTCACTCAGCTAGAAGCAGGCTGCTGCCATCTCCCATGACTTTGGCTTCTCTTTGATTTGCATTTTCCATTGCTTTTCCCTGGGCCAGATGTGTGGATTTCCCTGTTGTGCCCAATGACAGAGTTGACTTTTCTAGAAACTGCCAAGATTATTTGTAATGTGCTGGCTTCGCAGAGGTTTCTCGTATGTTGAGAAGAACATAGTCTGATGTTTCACAGCAACAGGAAGAGGGTTAGAGATGTTGAGAGAGGACAGTCTGGGAGGAGTTTTCACATATGTTTCTCCTTGATGGAGAATCCAGCATGGGGAATCTGGTGTGACCAGGGCCAAGTTGTATTTCTGCAGTCATTTTTTTTCTCTGTGGCTTGGGAGAGCAACCACAGTTAGTAGAGAGGTTTTGCTTTGAGCATGATTTCTTTGTCTTATGATGCCAAAACTGCTGAAGGTCATGTCGTCCAGCTTCCCATCAAAATCAATTGTAGACAAAATCCGCAGGGAGACAGATTTCTTGTATCAAAGACACTGTCTCTTGCCATCTCATACTCTTTGCTACCTTTTGAAACAACATCGAAGGCCATCCATAATTGGGAAGCATTCTAGGAGTGGGGTGAGTGATGGTGTTAAAGGACATCAGTCCAGCTTCTCATGAAGTGCACCAAACCCTGGTTAAAAGTAGAAAAAATACAGTGATGATAATTGATTGATGTGAAAGTCCCAATGTTTTAGAATGCTGTTTATCTGCAAGACCAGACCACCTAAGGTAAATTATGCACTCTGCTGGTTACTTATAAGGTCTCAAGATAGGCGATGGACACAGGGTGGTAGAGAATAGAATAAAACCTTATGCCAGCCAGGGGCTTTAGTATAACACTCCATTAAAAATATTGGTGGCCTGGGATGGATTCCATAGAAGACTCCTTCACTTAGATCAGTTAATCAGATAAAAGGGCTGCTTGCTATATATCTATGTGCAAGCTCAAATCCAAGTTATAACCTTACTGCTTTGCTATTATATAAACCCCACACACCAGATATATCAGTAGAAAAAGCACAAGCATTGGAGTGTATAGTTGATCATCTGATGTGGCTGTGGTAGGGGATAAAAAGGCAGTAACATCTCCTGGGATCATTTCACCTGACTACTTGTGAGAGAAGATAGAAGAAAATCTCCCCAAGAGATACATACACCATGGTCCTGTGGCTGTGTGAAATAGCAGGGTGGAAAGGAAGCTGAAAGAACCACATCAGTGTGTATAGGCTGTTTCCACATGTATGTACTGTAGCGAAGAAAAGAGTTTCTACCCTGTCTACCTGACTAGCTTTGTTTCTTTTTCTGCTTAGGAGGTGGGTTGCAGCAGTCAAGAAAGGGCATCAGTATCCCCCCAAAATACCGCTTGGCACAGCATCCTTATGCAGAAATACTCTTCCGGTTTCTGCTTTGCTGCTGATGTCATCTGTAATAAGAAACAATTTTAAGATACAATCCTAACACTATGATTGTGTGGATTCTAGAGTAGCGTGTGTTGAGGTCATTTTCCCACTATTTTTATTTAATGCTTGTGTGTGTGTGTGTGTGTGTGTGTGTATAAAATTCTATAACCAAGCATGTCACTGTACACTCTCCCACTCTAAATTTTAAGCACAGAGGCCAATAAACATGTTCAGTATTTCCCAGGTTCTCAAAAGCAATAGAGTGGGAGGCCAGGCCCTGAGCTGGAGCTGCCCCAGCCCTGAGGAACTCAGTCACAGAGCACCACATGATGTGGATGGGAGCAGAGGACTTAGGATGCCCACTGAAATGGGTAATGTTAAGGTAATGCCAAAGTAAAGTGCCTAAAGCCCATTGAGACGAGAATCTTGCTTTGTGGTGAGTAGCTCCTCTGGTTCCATAGATAGCTACGTAAGTGTTGGTGTCTTTATTTATTTATTTATTTATTTATTTATTTTTTGACGGGCAGAGTGGACAGTGAGAGAGAGAGACAGAGAGAAAGGTCTTCCTTTTTGCCGTTGGTTCACCCTCCAATGGCCGCTGCAGCCGGTGCACTGCGCTGATCCGAAGGCGGGAGCCAGGTGCTTCTCCTGGTCTCCCATGGGGTGCAGGGTCCAAGCACTTGGGCCATCCTCCACTGCACTCCCGGGCCACAGCAGAGAGCTGGCCTGGAAGGGGGGCAACCAGGACAGAATCCGGCGACTAGGACCCGGTGTGCAGGCACCGCAGGCAGAGGATTAGCCTAGTGAGCCGCAGCGCCGTCCTAAGTGTTGGTTTTGCTTGAGAAAGACCAAGGAGTTGGCCTTTTGAAAAAGAAAATTGCAATCATACCAAAAGTAGCATTTCAAATGAAAACCTAAGAGAAGAATTTGAGATCTTGAACTTTGAAATAAAACTCGGTGATCTGATATGCCCGGTCTGTCTCTTCCACCCTCCCACTGGTAAGAGATTTTCCCCCATCTCTTGGAGGAAGACTCTTGTTCTTGCCAGGCGGCCTCTTATTTCTCTTCTTTTTTATTTTTTAGTTGCCTGAAATGTTAATCCTGTAAAATAGAACGCAGGTGAAATTCTTGCTGTTTTGGTACTTGCCTTTAACTTAGGAACACAAAGGTTAAGTTGAAGATAAAAGTTGAGTGTTTTTAGTTGTTGTTATTTCTGTTTTAAATTGTGGTCATAGCCATAACTCAGACCTTGAGCATTTTGTGTAGTTCCTTGGATTTCTGGGGATAGTAGCAGTCAAGTGTCATTGTTTGTAAGGATTGTCCTGGCACTGTCCTTAACATTCCTTTAGCCTCCTCTTTACAACAAACCAACAGTGCGCTTGGTGCCAATCTCCCTTTGGGAGAGCGAACTCGAGGTTTTAGTTTCAGCTTTGCAAACTTTAAGCCCTCTGTTAGCTTTTCATCCTTTTAGCTAACACACCTGAGAGGACATTCTTGAGAAGGAAAAGATTTAGTTTGGTTCACAGCTTGGAGGTTTGCTGTCCAAGATCAGATGTCTCCATTAGCCTGGCATCTAGTGGAGGGTGGTGATGGCCAAGGAGATGTGAAGGAACCCTCATATGGTGATCCGGGAAGCAGAGAGACACAGCAAGCTCGCTCATCTTTGGAAACTAACCCTCTTTGAGAACTGCCTTAGGAAAGCAAGCTTCCAGTGACCAAAAGAGTTCTATAGGCCCCACTTCCTAGCAGCCGTAATTAGATCAAGTTTCTAGCCCAGTTCATCAACAATTATCATTAATCCATTAAGTGTTAAGGTAAGACTTTGGGATTTAAGCATCTGCATGAATTTCTATAACATTCCACTACTGGTTCCCCCAAACTCATGTTTTTCTTATATACCACTAGAATGATCCCATTCCCAAAAGTTGCAAAGTCTGAACTTAGTCATGTGTTAATTCCAGAGTCCAGCGTCTCATCTGAGAATTGAGGAAAGCTCTCTTAGCTATGAACCTCTGTACAATCATGAGTTAAGTACGTCCAAGACCCAAGGGTGAGACAGATGCAAGGGGAACATTTCTATTGCAAGCAGGGAAGACACAGAAACAAATCATTCATCTGGCCAAAGCACAAATAAAAACCAGCAAGGCAAATGTTAACTTCTATAGCTCTGTGTCTGGCACTCTGGGCACGCTGTAGAGAGGGCTGGACTCCCAGCAGCTTAGGTAGTCCTGCCTCTACAGCTTTGCAGGTCACAGCCCAGCTTCAGTTCCCACAGGCTTGGGTCTTGTTGTTGCATCTATGCTAAGCATTGCCCTGGTGGGGTCTTTCTGCAGGAGCTCAAACTCTGCACGTGCTCTCAGCATTGTCCTAGTGCAGGCTTTGTGCAGTGACCTTGCTTCTGTGACTGATGTCGTTCCGAGCCTCCAGTTTGTTCAAAGCATCCTTTGAAATCTAAGTGGAGGCCTTTGCCCATGTGGCTGTCTCTGATCAGCTGCGTGCTGATGTCTCTGGCTTTGCCAGGCTGACCCGGCACACTGCTTGCAGCCTTCCTTGGCGGCTGCCTCATGTTGCCAGAACCTCTACTTTTCTGGACTCTCCTCTCCAGCTCCCCTCTGAGAGCTTCGCTGTGCCTTGCTCCATGCAGGGATTCCAACCCTGCAGCACAATCTGCCCGGCCTCTTAGCTTTCCTTTGATATCTGGGTGGAAGGTGCCTTGACCTCAAAAGTCTTGTGTTTTGCACCTGTACAAACCCAGAATCACATGGACAATGCCAGGTCTGCCACCAAAAGGAACCACTTCTGGAACTAGTTGGGTCAGGGATGTAGTGGCCTTTCAGATCTTTGCCAGCCAGGCAGAATCCCCAAATGGCCCTGGGGTTTCAGGAGACACTGCTGGTCTTCCCGGGCTTCTGGGCCTGTGGTAAGAGGGCCAGCCTTGAAGGTCTCTGAAATGCTCTGAGGGTCTTTGTACCATCATCTTACCCATTAACACCTGACTCCCTTTGACCTGAGTTAATCTTTAGCAAGCAGTTTCTCTACCTACCTTTCCTGTCCTGTGTAAGCTTTGTCATTGTACTTTGCCTGGCCAAGCCATGTATTTGCCAAATCTTTCTCTGCTTCCCTTTGCTCATGATTCTCATGATAAAACTTATTAAGAGCAGTGCACCTAGCACCCATGAGTAGCCTCAGTGCTTTGCTGCCTTGAAATCACACAGTTAAAAAGCCAGGTTCTATGCCGCCATCCCACTTAAGTGGCCTTTAGACCGGTTCCCAATGGTGCCCCTTTCGTGTGGATTTACTGTCTACATTTTCATAAGTATTTTAGTCTCCTAAGACTCTGAGAATCGCCTATAACATTCTGATTTCTGCATCCCAAGCTTTATCCAGTGTGCCCCTCCAAACTTTGCCAACATTTTTTCTGTAAACCGATTCCTAAGACTCCGCCATATCCTCAAGTGTCATCAACAATAACAAGCCCACTCTTCTGTGTTAGTCACCTTTTCCTCACTCTAACTAAAAGACCTAAGACAAGCATCTTGGGAAGAAGGTATATCTTGGCTTGCAGTTTGGAGGTTCAAGGTTGGGTAGCCCTGTGAGTCTGGCATCGAGTGGAGACTGGCTGTGGCAGAACAGGTGTGGAGGAGCAATCACATGGTGAGCTAGGAAGTGGAGAGAGACCCACCCCTCCCGAGAGAACCGCCTTTGGCCCGAGGACCTCCCTCCAGGCCCACCTCTGAGACACTATAATTAGATCAAGTCTCTGCCCTTGATCTGTCAGTCATTGACACAGAACTCTGGGCTTTCTGTTTCATCCAAAACATTGCCTTCTACTATCCTTTCTCTATGTCAGCCCCAGTTGAAGTGCTGTTGATCCTCATTGTCCCTAGATCTTGGATTTGCAAGTTTACCTACCCAATAACGTTTCTAACTTCACTGTCAGTGTTTGCAGCCTGGTTTGGCTGTCATTTGTGCGCATGCCCAAAGCAGCAAAGCGTTTGAGTTTCCCTATAGACATGCTCTCAGTAGAGAGGGAACCGTAGCAGTGCTCTGCCTTGTTTTTGCCCTCATACTGCAAACAAGTGTGGTCTATTTGGGACTGTGCTTTCTAGGTTTTTGTGCCTTTTTTGGTGATTTCGCTGTCTACAGTGCCTCCAAGTACAGTGCAGAAGTGTTGTCTAGTGCTGCCGAATATCAGGAGGCAGGGCTATGCCTCTCAGAGCAAACACACGTACGAGACAAAGTTTGTTCAAGGCATGAGTTCTAGTGCTGTTGCTTGTGGGTTTGATAATTACAAACCAACTAACTATATAGAACATGTGTGAAATACATTGACTTAAGTGGTAACACACAACAAAAACAAAATTATCTCTTGACAAGAATATTATCGATGACTTTCAGGAACCTAACCCTGACCTTGCCCTAGGAGCAGTGGCTCAGCACTTGCTGATTCAGTATATGCAGCAACTCCGTTGAACCACACTGTGTCATGTAGCCAGAATCAGTCGATGTGGTCTAATAGATGTCAGCTCTCATGAGGAAGGTGAACATTGGAGACCTCTGCTGCCAGGGACGGATGGTATGCACTGGGTATTGTGCAGGTGACATCTTAAAATGAGGGAAACCGGAGGGTTCTTCTTCAGCCTGGAACTTCTTTAACAAGCCAGATAGAAATGCATCATTTTCTAGACCATTTAACTTGGCTTGAAACGTGTTTTCTTTCACACCCCTAGTGCTTTCCAAAAAACTGGCTGTTTAATTAAAAAAAAAATTGGCCTCACTGTTATGTGTACATTTGCAGTCTGAACACCCATGGAGGGGAGCCACCCCTCTCTTCCAGACAAGGGTGAGTTGTTGAATTTTATGTTAAATCTTGGCAGTGCAATAAATCTCTGAACCTGCACCAGCCTGCATCGGATATTTAATACTGTTTTCATTTCCAATACTAATCAATCTTGGGAGAATGTGCTATTATTTTTTAGTTACATGTAAACATTTAGATGAATATAAAATGACTTATTGATAGCTTGTGCGCAGTCAAGTTTATTGACACTCTTGTCAAATTCTATTTGTCAGTTGATTGGCCCATCGTCCTGCTATGGGTGTGGAGTAGAACCGACGTGACATTTTTGTTTCCTGGCCATGGTAC